AAAATAAAGTCATCTTTTAATTCCATAAACCTTCTGAAGAGCCCTCCTATTTGTCTCCATCACTGGGTCCCCAGAGCGCCTCTCCCTGGAGCCACTCGGAGCGGCTTCGGCAGGGGCGAGCGGGGTCAGGCCATCCCCTCCCCTACTCACCAGCTCACCAGCTCACCTGAAAACCAAGTGGCTAAAATGTCTAAATGAGTTCATTTAGGAGAAACTTTTCAACCCAAACTGCCTGCCCCACCCCCGCTAGGGAGGCCTGGGCCACGCAGGCGAGGCAGAGTGTGGCGCTCACTCACTTGTGGTGGGCAGGGCCACAAGAGCCCAGGAGGTGGCAGCCGGCCTGCTCCAGGTTCCAGTCGAACATCTCCAGCACCTTGTGGCATTCCCCTCGGGGACGCAGACCCAGCCCAAACAGCTGCTCCACCTGCGGGGCAGAGCGGGTATCGTGGGACACACCGGGGCCAAGGGGCACAGGCCGGGGGCGGGGCTTGGGAGCAGCGGGGTCCCTGAGCGCTGGAGCAGGCAGGGGTGGTGGTGGTACCTTCAGATACTGGGCAGCCCGCTGCACACTCCAGCCGTGGCTCTGCAGGGCTGCCTGGCACTCCTCTGTGGTCACCCCATGCACCATGACCTGCAGCTGGGCACACCCACCCGCCCGTCAGCACCACGCAGGCCCACTCCGCTGGGTCCCCTGGGCCCCTGCCCCTCCTCACCCCGAAACCGCGCCTGCCACTCACCATCTGGATCTTGTCGGCTGGCCGCCCAGCCTCCGGCCCGTCCGCGGGGCAGCCCCGGGGTGGCAGCCGAGCAGCGGCCCTCAGGGCTGCTGGCCGGGTCCCTGGGTTGCTGTTGTTGGTGGAGAAGTTGGCCTTGGGGTCCAGGGCAGCCTGGGGCATGGGCCGGACAGTGGCGGTGGGGGCGGCAGGGGCAGGGGTGCTGGGCGGGGGCAGCAGCAGGGGCACGGGCAGGGGCGCGGGCTCCTCCTCGGGGCTCTGGGCCTCCCGCAGGAAACGCTGGCAGCGCTCCAGGTAGGCCGGGCGCTCGGGCAGCAGGTAGTAGTGGGTGTTGCTGACCTTCTTGCCGTCGTGGATGATGGGCAGGATGCAGGGGCCGGCCCGGGGCCCGGGGGCCTGGATCACCTGCGGAGTGGCGTACTTGGGGTCGGAGGCGAAGCTCTGGGTGGTGGGCATGGTCTTCCCAGGGGAGCTGGAGAGCCGGGGGGACAGAGGAGAGCTGCCAGGGGGCGCCAGGGGGCTGGGGGTCCTTGAGCCTTGAGGGGACAGGGGCTCACGGGGAGGCACTCG